GAGACAAACTTAACAACCTGTTTGCTGACGACCGCACATTCAGTGAAAACAGAGAAGTCGACGGGCAACACAGTGGTGACCCCTAAATTTCCAGGTGCCAACTATTTCGACTGTCAGAAGGACAGAGTGCCCCACTTGAATGCCTCAGAACCAATCCGGACAACTCTAGAACAGGATCGGCGGGGAACGCGACCTCGTGTAAAGAATGTGGCTACGCCTTTCTAGGCCACCCGTAGAGATTAGGCCAGGGAAACAGCAAAATCTGAGAGAGCGGTAGTAAGAAACCGTTATCACCTCCAAACTCCTTCCGCGTATCCTTCCTTATTACCAACGCACGTCCAGGGGTGTCGACTGTATTAGGCATAGCGCCCCCTCAAAAACACCGTGCACACTACTCCACCTAACACCGTTAGTGTGGGCCTCCTCACCGGTGTGAATGTACTTTCTGAGTCGACTCGTCTAGTTGGTCATCTCGGCATATATATTACCATCAATGTTCGCGTTCATTCAAGCTCACAGACTGCGCGACTTCTTTTGATCAAACTCGGCCCATAAACCAGTGGACCACGCCGTCAGTGTCAACATGTGCTACAGTGGATTTGGCATCCAATAAGACAGTTGCTAAACATGGATTCGAGCGCGCTATTCGCGCTTTCGTCGCTTCGCAGTGCACCACAAGTGAATCCCTTGGAACTGCCTGCCTGCCCAAGATTCATCCGAACTCTGTAGGACTGCAGTGATTGTTACCCGTCTAACAACAATATAAACGCCCTAACCCACGTTCACTGTTAGCGCTGATTTGCGGGCGAGCGCAGACTCATCGAACACCAAAGATACACTACAACGACAACCAGAGAATTTCATCCATTACCAAAACCACAAACACGTTGACTGCTGTTGCTGCCACACAATAACTACTGGCACTATCAACAATTCCAAAGACGGTCACTTAGGGCTTACATATCGCCTTCGGCAAGATGCACCTAGAGTTTATTGGTACGTTCGAGCCGGCTATTGGTGGCTTGTCTAGCCGCCAAAGCAATCGGACCAAGTGTGCCCTGTTCTGGACATTGAGCCAGATCAGTGGGTGAAATTGTACGCAATACGTGCGTGCGGCACAGGAGAGACCAAACGAAACAGAAAAACCAGTGTACCGCATTGGTCGCACAGTTCATGCCAAAGCTGTCATTCAAATTACCGACGACGGAGAGAGCGTCGATGGCGGTAGTCAAGTGTTATTGTGTTGAAAATAATGCAATTAGTAAGCAAAACTCCTCGTTCACAGTAGGAAAAAACGGAATGTAAAATAGTGCAAAGATAGGCAGTGTGCGAAAATGAGCTGCAAATATTTTCGATCAGTAAATCTGCAAAATAACAGGCAAAGAAAGTGGACTGCACAGTCGCCGAAAAACCAGAGCTGTTCGCATAAGTAACTCTGGAGGTCAAGTAAACAACTGGGTGGATCAGAATTCTTTTTAACAGTTAGGCGCAGTAGGGATAAAAATAAAGACCGGCATCAGGCATCGCACGGCTGAGCATCTTGGAGAGTTGGATAGCGTCGCGATCGCTGGCGAACAAGGTTTTGTCGCAGTGCCATGGCGGCGGGTGAATTCTGATTGGCGAAGGGTGGGGGACGGGCACGTGTCCGTCGGGGGGCACCAGTGATGCCGGGACTGAAGGCGGCGCCCGTCTTCAGCCTCTCCATGAGGGTATCAATAACATTACCATCATCCTCGGTAGGCTTGCGATTGCCCGCTGCAGCGCCGCTCATGCGCAATTCAGCCTGCTGTTTCTCCCGTTCCGCCCGCTCTTCCCGCAGCTTCTTCTGTTTCGCCTCAAGTTCACGCTGGCGGGCAATATCATCTGCTGCCTGGGCATACGAAATGCAGAATGTGTTCATATCGGTAAGCAGACTCTCTAGGTTATATTTGGCCGGATCAAAGGCAAAGTAGATGGCCACCTCGTTGAACCGCTCCTGCATCAATTTGAACATATTCTCCACTTTCTCGATCTGCTGCTTGGCCTCCTCAAGGAACGCCTGCATAACAGTGGGAAAGGCGTCATCGTCACCCTGACTCTTGTAAGTGCGCAAATCGGTCTCTAAATTCGTTGCCGACTTCTTCATTTCGGCTATCAGCATCTTTGCAGTGTCTTCGGAGAACCGCGACGCTTTGTCCAGATAGGAGAGATCAGCAGGCAGGCCTGCGACGGTGTCTGGGAATTTGGCCTCTATAGCGCGCAGAAGGAAGTGCAGGAGAGTGGACTTGCCAGAAATGTCCTTAGTACCGCTCAGCTTGGGAAGGAAGGATATCTGAAACCCAACAGACTGAGCGTTCCGAGAACCCGAATTGAGATAGTTGCCCAAAAGGAGAACCATCTCGATAACGCGCATTAGGTGTTTGCTTGTGTTCAACTCTTTCAGCGCCTCCGTAACGGCTACAATGCCCGGCTTTATATCGGCAATTTTTTCGGCGAAACGCATTTTGAAAAGAATCGACTGAAGGCGTGGAAACAACTTTTTAATGGTGCCAACTTGACAACAAAACTGTTCGGGTTCGGCAAGTTCGTCATATTCATTGGAGACGGCAACAATCTGATTAATGACGTCGGGTTCCGGAAGCGCCTTCAGCAGCTGTTCGATCATGTTGGGGTTCAAAAGATCCTCACGGACACCCATTATCCTCTGACGCAGATCGGCGTACGGAACCTTGAGAGAACCCAGGAGAATAGATAAACTTTGTGCGGATTTGGGGTCTAGAAAGCGTACCTGTTTGGCCTTTCTTGCTAAGGTCCGTTCGATGTTCTTGGCAGAATCTTCAACTTCACCATCGCCAGAGTCAGGTGGAGATGCCTTCTTAGGAGGCTTCGTGTTGAAGTTTTCTGTGAGGGAATTGAGCAAACTATCTGACGCGAGCTCATCTTCTTGGAGTTTCACCCATAGTGAGTTCTCGGAAAGCTGTTTGGGGTTAATTTGGTCCCAGTTGGCCTTCTTTAAAGGCAGTTTTGGGGAATACTTTGGCTTCGCCTTCATGCCAAATGGTAGGGGCTCGGGAGCCGGAGCACGGAATGCTCCCGGCGGAGGTGGAGGGGCTCCTGGCGGTGGTGGGCCTCCGGGTGGTGGGGGCGGCGGAGGAGGAGGCGGTGCACCTGAACCTGGTGGTGGCGGTGGCGGCGGTGGTGGTGGAGGGGGAGGGGCTCCAGAGCTTGTGGAGCCTGGTGGCGGAGGTGGGGGTGGTACCGAGGACGCAGCAGCTGGTGCCTCACCAGTTGAAGATTTTGCCGCGCGCAATGTTGCAAGCATAGCTTCGGCCTCTTGCTTCTCTTGAAGAACCTGGTCCAACTTCTTCTGCAGTTCCTCACACTTTGCAGAACCATCCATATTCTTTTGTGCCTCCAAAAGAGCGTTCACAGTCCCTTCAACGTCGAGATGGAGCAACCGAAGTGAAGGATCATAATCAATTCCATCAGTCTGCAGCACAACCTGACCAATTAGCTCATTCAGAAGAACATAATACTGCTCTCGGTAGGGCTCCTCTCTAACGAAAAGTAAGTGCTGTAGGAGTGAGAGAAACAATTTCTCCGAGGACGTGTTTAAGAGTGAACGGCTGAGCAGTTGATATACCTGATCGCACTCAGTCAGATCCGTTTTCGCTACTTCAAAGCGTTCGAAAAGCTCATCATTGTCAGCATCAGCGAAGCGACGGTAGATGCCCACATGATTGGTAATGTTCGGATCACCAGACTTTTCGAGTTCCGCAAGCTTTTCACCAAGATGAAGCCTACTCAACTCAAGGCGCAAGTGAATGCGATAGTCGACATCAATTGTCTCATCAGTGAGGAATTGAGCAGAAACGATGACGTTAATGAGCTGCAAGCACGCGCATGCAAGTTCACTAACAGCCAGGCCTTCAATGAGAGGCGCGAAACGCTGAGGTTGGTTGGGTGTCAACTCGGCACTAAATGTGAGGCCCTCCATAACTTTTTGGTGTCCCTTTAAGCTGCACATTGCCATAGTGGAAAGCAATTCCAGTGCACATTCCATTAGAGCAGGATGTTCGACATTTAGACAGCGTGCAATGAAAGTGGAGGCAGTATCGTGGTCGACCAGAGCGAATAAACCGTAGCCACAATTTCCGAGGGCACGAATGCAACGCAGACTGAGCAGGGTGCTGGTTTTATAGTTTTCGCTCAACGACAAACCCAGGAATCGAAGTAGAAGATTAAGTCCGTCATTTTCCTTGTTGTTGAACTCTTTAACCCAACTGACGCGACCATTCAGAAGAGCAATCCTGAGAGAATTTAACGTGTTTGACAGCTCCTTTTCGTTGAGCTGTTGTGGACTGCTGAGGTCTTTGCAGTATCGAGCGGGACTGTTTGCTGCTTGGGCTGCCCCGTACTTCGAAGTCTTCAGCATGCTTCTTTTATATTCGATGGGCTTTTCAAGCAGGGGCGCACGCTTCTCTGCCGACAAATTCATGTCTTCCATGAGGCTCTCGAAGAGGGACTCGATTTCAGAGTTTGAGAGATGCGACAGATCTAAGTCCTGTGAGGATGTCTTTGGGTTCGGTTCTCGATTTTCGCCATCCTTCTTTTTTTTACTCAGCATACTCTTCAAAACACCACTAACTGCTTTTTTGTCCTTTTTCGAGTCCATCTCGAAACCGTATAGACTTTAAAATAATCAGGGATAAAACTGGAGGCAAACCAGGTAGCCTAGGGAAGAAAAGAGGGCAATTAATTAACCTTGCATGGATGGATAATAAAGTCGAGACAAATAAATACAAAAGAATTAGGGCTGTGAACTCAACAGATAGCACTAAAATGTCTCTGCAACAGAGCACATGCATGATTAAGTCTGCGCATTACATGCGCTTCAGCAAGGATGATGCTTTTGCGAAACATCAGGCGGAAACCAGCCAATCAACTAAGAGGGGTGGGATCACACAGACTTCACTACCCAACAATGGAATGCAGGATTGACTGCTATCATCGGGATATACATGAGCATGCACCCCACCAGTAACACCATCCTCGTCCTCGCCGTCGTCATCATCGAAATAGCAACCAAGCTGAAGTAGAGCTGCTCTATCATTTATGCACTCGCGCAAAATACGGATTCACTCATTATTATGCGACATACTGTAACAGTGGGTTAACCATCTAAACTAATAACGTGAGGGATTGGGGACATCATGACTGGGGGGCAATGTTCTCTAGTACATGCTTTTATCAACTGAATAAAATTCATGAATATCCAACACAGACATTATTAGAAGGGTTCCTAATTGTCATTCTGTCTTCCTTTAATCACTATGGAGGTGCGGTGGCATGCCTGGGCGCAGGCTCAGGCCGCACCGACCGCCTGCACCCGATTTCGTCTCTAGTCTCTCTGACTGTCTTAACACCGGCCCCAGGAGGGTGGGGGAGAAGAGTGTGATAGATGCTGCGCAATTTTATTATGACTATAAACTAATTCACGAGCAAACCCTGTGTCTACCCTGCTGCGAGGCAAACGATGGCCATAGTCATCTCTTAAATTATCGAGAGGCCAAACAACTGTAAAGGAGGATTGATCTTGCCGCCTGCGAACTCAGCGAAACAGGGTATTTGGAACGGGCAAACTTGAAAGACTTCGTGGAACAACGCACATTCTCCTGGAGCAGTCATTGCAAGGGCTTGCTTGCTCAGTCCGCGGCAAACGTTGTCTCCCTAGTCAATGAAAGCAACAACCCACACAGAACAATGCGTCTAACGCTTTGATGTAAAGAGTCCGCCACTCTCGTTGGCGACTAGAATCCGAAAGTGACAAGCCCAGACGGCATGAGGAGCCTAATCTACGATGGCCCTCACGCTGTTTACGTCTCTGTTGGAGATGAATAAATCGATCTTTTTTGGGGAGAGTAGGAAGTCGACGCGCGAAATGGGACAGACCATACCGCACGGAGAAAGAGTGCCTAGACGTCAGTGGCTGTAACAGTAACAATCAACTTCTGCCAAAGACCTGCATGGGGCCTAATCACCCCGCTATCTTTGCAGAGCGTAGTCGATTACTGAAAGATAAACATCAGGAGGTGCAAAGCGGACAAAATCTGGGGTTGCATTTATCGGAATGGAACGAAAAATTACTCAGTAACCATCAAGAATGCCCACAATTTACACGTCGGGCAACCCTGACAGCCCCATGGTGCCGACCAGCAGAGTCCTCGACCCAAACCACGAGAACAATTCTCTTACAATTATCAGAGTCAGGGGAACACTGTCGAATTCACTCGGAGATCATAGCTCTTTATCGTGCACAGATGGACAGATGATACTCAATGAGACACCGAAACCCCGGAGATAAACTCGATAAACCAGGCCTGACTACTGTTAAATCACGTGCAAATAAGCACAATTTCAAAGCCCTCTTATCTCTTATGTAGGTTGGAGCATGCGCTTCCAAATAGCGCGGCGCATATATTTTCCAAGCAAAACTGCATTCAATTGTAAGAAAACTTCCAACAAGACTGCGAGCAATCGAAGTGGTCACAGATAAGCATTCGAGGCCTAGAACAACGTGAATGGTTGTCAAACACTTGACAATACATGTGTTAATAAGGAATGTAGAGAACTGTCCACAATGGCTGCCAGGGTGCTGAAAATAGACGCTCTCGACGTCAACGTAAGCCTCTCCAGACTTTGCATTACAAAGAGGAGTATCTAGGGAACCAGAGAAGAGTTATAAAGAGCACAGAATTCAGTGGCTGATTATTTGCTTGTATTAATGATTGAAAGGCGCGTCGGCTGGTCAGTTTGTAGGATGTGCTCATCCCATTGCGCCTTGGGGCTCCATCCAGAGTTTTTGCAGGTAAGCTCATAGCGACCAGCAATATATTCGGAAGGAGTGCCCATAAAGGGAGACCGTGGTAGCCATTTCTGGCCTGTCGGCCACACTCTACCCCAGGTTTGGATAACCTGGGTTTTGAACCAAAATTCTTTGGCCTTTGAGCGTTAGGTTCAGCGTTATACCACTGAGCCACAGACCCGTTGTCCTGCCGATTGAGACCGGAAATCTTAAGTATATGGGAAATGGGCGCTCACCGATCAGTTTGCAGGACGTGCTGGTCTTATTACAAACCGATCGGTTAACGTGCCCTTTCACGATACTTAGTATTCCCGACCCCAACTGACAGGACACCAGGCTCGTGACTTAACGGTACAGCTGAAAGGCCAAATAATATGGTCCCTAATCCCAGATTATCAAGACCTAGGGTAGGATATGAAATGGTTAGTGACGGTTAACGGACCAGAAATAACCATTCCAGTCCCCAGCATTTGTTGGTACTTATTCTTGCTTGTAATGCCCTTGATCTGTAATCGTCTAGTAGGCATTCAGAAAGTCTGTGCTCCATTCCTGAACACCGAAGACCGAACATCGAGTGTGAATCCGAAATTTCAGGCCAAAAAGCTCTTTTTTCAGCGATCGTGTCTCCTTTTTCGCAAAGATCGCAGAGCCTATTAACCTCCCTCCGCCGGGGGGGTTTCATTCGGCCGTCACAACGACGGAGCCAACTCGGGCAGAGACCCGCAGAAGCAACATCGAGAACGAGTCCTCTTGCTGCGCCATGTGCCGGCGTTTTGGACCGGCGAGGGGGTACAATATTGGGTACACAGTGTTGGCAGGATCCGTAGTATTCACCAGAGGCACCAGCAGTTGAATGTAATCAGCGTATAAGGACCACGTTTCCTAGCGGTAGACCAGGATTGTTTTGAGCACTGTTAAACAAGTTTGGGACTTCGGAATCAGCACGACTGCCTCGAGCCTTCGGCTATTGTTGAGGGGGCTACCTTACTGACACAAGAAGCCACCAATCGGTACTTTGATTTGTCCAGCTTGTAGTTTCAAGTCGAATTTACGGGAGACGACTTTCAAGGACAGATGACGCTTTATATAAGGGAGTTTGGAGCCGAAGGATTTTAACAGCATAGGAAAGCTACGAAACGCGAAGATCCCCCTCCGCCTGAAATTCCTCGTGCTCGTGGAGAGCCGTTGAGAGGGTCGAGTACATCACAGAGAGGACTCGTGAGAGGACAGCCTAATAGGATTCTATCTCTCTCCTCCCCGAACGCCCGACCTTTTGTTCGAATGAGTTCTTAATACAACTTGCTTGAGTTAACGGGTCTTGGGATATACAATCAGGTGTCATGGCCTTTTGAAGCGCACTGCTGCCAAATGAGCTGGACGTTGCAGCGATATTGAGACGTCTTCCGTTGAAGAGGTATCTTGTAAATTTAGTGCAGAATGAGTGCTTGGCTGACAAAACTTCTGTCCGAGAGAAAAGGTGGTTAAGGAGCGAAGATGTAAAAACGTCGACCAGGCCGATACCTTTGCAGTTGAGACATTCCGACTTGCCTCCGTCATTGAAAAGGTAGGTAAAACGGCATTGTTTGCCCTGTGGAGACGATTCAATGTGCCACACGCCAAAATATCTTTTTAAAACAGTTTCTGTAGACGTCAGCCGATTTCGAAAAAAAATGGAAAGTGGACCGAGAGCGGAGGTCTCCTCGGATGCATTGAGGCAGCTGAATGAGTACTTCAGCGAAATGATCTGGGGGTGCGGCAATCACTCGGCCTAGCTAAGCGCCGAAGAAATAAGCTAATTCCTTTGGAGTATTCCACAGCAGAGGTTCAGTTCAATTCTGAGACAAAAATCAAACAATACCGGCACTGGTCAGTCCTGGCTGAAAAGGCTGTACTAAGGTCTACATTTCCAATAAAAATGGCGCATTGAGTTTTGCCCACAAGTTGAGCAGTCTTCGCTGATACCAAGTCTTTTTGTTTGTTTGCTGTGACCAGCTAACTAACCGAAACTTCAGTGATTACGGTTTAAAATAAGGTCATTTATCCGAAGATGACGACTGGCTGCTGAGATATCTCCTGCAAGGCGATAAAGCCAGTCACACATGTAAGATCCGAACCGCCCCCTTGTGTGTGAAATTCTAGTGTGTGCATTTAGGAGGCCAGGTCGTACATGTGGTGCGCGTAGACCACTGCGTCTACTCCTCGCATCAGACATTCGACCGGCTCGGACAGCAAACTGATGCCTAAGTGGGAAGAGAGAGTAAAGTCGACTATCTCAGCGTAAATTCCTCACAACAAACAATCTGATACGCTTGGATATGGCACGATGCGGTAAAGCCGTGGCTCGGAAGAATGTCAACTGACGGGATAACTCGGATCTCGCAGTCAGCCCATTGTGTGTGTCCTCAGTGGGACACATTGACGAGGCCGCTAGCTGGGGTGAAGTTCGGGCGACATTGCATCCTAGAAGATCTTATCTTCGGATCAGCAGGGAACATGGTCAGGCTGTCTCAAGTGGTGAGTAATAAGAACGGCATTGGTTGGTTGTACTACCGAGCGGCCCTGTGTATGTTAACTCAAAAGCTCATGATAAGGGAAAACTTAAAGAATTGACATAACCAATACCGAGTAAATACGCAGATTCACGAGCCACTCCGCTTATCCATACAGAAGGCTTTTGCTAATGCATGTGAGTTTCTTGACTGATCTTCCCCTTACTGTAGAAGTTTCGCCAAAATGAAGAGAATCTCTGAAGCCCAATTTATCTGATATACCTCACCCTCAAATTGCCCTTCTGCAAGATGCCTAAATCA